CTCCCATATTGAAGCAGAGAATATAAATGAGGGCAAACTTTCTGCAGAGCAGATTGACCACATAGATCAAGATTCTTACAAATGTTCTTATCCTTTGACCTAATAATTACAGTTCTTGGAATTTATCCCAAGGAAATTATCAGAGAAGCAAACAAAGAATTATGTACAAGGATGTTCACTGCAATGCTATTTATAATAGCAAAAAATTGCCACTGCCTAATTAAGCAACAATAGGGATTTAGTTAAGTAAATTATAGTAAATCCATAGAACAGAATGCTATTCAGGCATTAAAAACCATGTGTTCAAAGAATGCAAAATGGCTCAGGGAAATGCTGACAAGATAATGTTAAGTTAAAAAGGAGGCTACAGCATGTTAAATGCAACGTGACCCCAGTTTTATAAATATTACATATGCATATGACGTGTAATATGTGTATATAAAATTTGGAAGAAAGAAAAACTACATCGAAGTTTACTAAGTGCCAAGGAATGTAATAAAAACTTCACAGAATTATTTTACTCACTCATCAAAATAGTTCACAGAATGAACTATTTTGATCTCTATTTTAACAGTGAGAAAACCAGAGCAAAGAGAAATTAAGTTGTCTAAGATCATTCCACTAATACATTGGGTGGCCAGTGGTGTTTGATCCTAGATGATCTATGCCCTGCATAACATTATCCATTGTGTTGTTCTATGGGTTATTTTCTCCCTTGTGTTATTTGTGTATTTTTCCAATTTTTTTAGTAAACATATTACTGTTATAACCAGGTTTTTGAAGATTCTTAATAGTGTGCAAAGGGAGAGTAATTAGCATAAGTATTGAAATTAAACTCATATTCTTACTGAAATGAACAGGGTATTTTTGATTTGTTAAAAGCAGAACACAGTTTTGTTTTGTTTTGGTTTTTTAATAAAGGATTTTATTATTTTTTTATTATTTTTTTTTATTTTTTGAGATGGAGTCTCGCTCTGCCGCCCAGGCTGGAGTGCAGTGGCCGGATCTCAGCTCACTGCAAGCTCCGCCTCCCGGGTTTACGCCATTCTCCTGCCTCAGCCTCCCGAGTAGCTGGGACTACAGGCGCCCGCCGCCTCGCCTGGCTAGTTTTTTGTATTTTTTAGTAAAGAAGGGGTTTCACCGGGTTAGCCAGGATGGTCTCGATCTCCTGACCTCGTGATCCGCCCGTCTCGGCCTCCCAAAGTGCTGGGATTACAGGCTTGAGTCACCGCGCCCGGCCTGGTTTTGTTTTTTAAATCTATTCATTAATTATTTAGATTCTGAAAATGTACCACTTGCTTTGCCTTTTCTATGTTTTGGCACTTTTATGCGTAATATGGCATTTTGTGAAGCAGAAGGGGAGCGCTGAAGTAGGGATTTCTTAAAAGATAAGTAAAAATACAGACAGGGATTTTCTAGGTGTCTTCAATCTTCCTAATAGAAGGTAAGGTAAGCTTCTAGGAGTGAGTTGAGCAGGGGTGGAAATTAAAATTAAGGAGCGTAAAAACCACAATGAGATACCATCTCACACCAGTTAGAATGGCGATCATTAAAAAGTCAGGAAACAACAGGTGCTGGAGAGGATGTGGAGAAATAGGAACGCTTTTATACTGTTGGTGGGACTGTAAACTAGTTCAACCATTGTGGAAGACAGTGTGGCGATTCCTCAAGGATCTAGAACTAGAAATACCATTTGACCCAGCCATCCCATTACTGGGTATATACCCAAAGGATTATAAATCATGCTGCTATAAAGACACATGCACACGTATGTTTATTGCAGCACTATTCACAATAGCAAAGACTTGGAATCAACCCAAATGTCCATCAATGACAGACTGGATTAAGAAAATGTGGCACATACACACCATGGAATACTATGCAACCGTAAAAATGGATGAGTTCGTGTCCTTTGTAGGGACGTGGATGCAGCTGGAAACCATCATTCTCAGCAAACTATCACAAGAACAGAAAACCAAACACCACATGTTCTCACTCATAGGTGAGAATTGAACAATGAGAGCACTTGGACACAGTAAGGGGAACATCACACACCGGGGCCTGTTGTGAGGTGGGGGGAGGGGGGCGGGATAGCATTAGGAGATATACCTAATGTAAATGACGAGTTAATGGGTGCAGCACAACATGGCACATGTATACATATGTAACAAACCTGCACATTGTGCACATGTAACCTAAAACATAAAGTATAAAAAAAAAGTAACACTGCACTCCAGCCTGGGTGACAGAGCAAGACTCCATCTCAAAAAAAAAAAAAAAAAAAAATTAAAGAGAGTAAAAGATCTGAAATAACTGCTATGATATGAGCAATAATAAGTAAATAAAGGATGGAATATTATGGTTATTAATAATGATGACAAAGGATACATGAACAGGGAGAAGGCTCCAGGTTTGCATGTGCTTGCATGGTGGGTGGAAGATGGGAAGTCTGGCCGAAGATGGATAGGTTTCTTCACAGAGCATCACCTGGGCAGCAGCGTGGTTTTGGCCATGAAGCCTGTGATGGGCAGAGGAGCAGTGCCCATCCAGGAAGGGCCCGTACCAAAGGCAGATGCAGGGCAGAGATGATGATGGGCAAGGAGAGCACGGTACCTGAGACCCTACAGACCACAGTTGGAACTGTTAGGTCGACTGGCAGTGTACAGAAGTGAAAGGACATCTAAGAGTGGACAGTGGAAATGCAGGAGCAGGGGAAGGAGCACCCATAGGTGGATCTGATGCCCTCGAGGAAGCTGGCTGTGGTCCAAGAGAGATCGGGGGCCCTGCTGCCATGAGTTTTTGTCAGGTGGCATGGATTTCCAGTAAGGAAAAGGAGTAAATTGGGGTATAATTGTGATGCATTATGAAAACAAGGGTTAGACAATGCATAATACAATTCCTTTTTAAAAGTTGAATGCTGAATGGCAGTACTACATCAACAGGCCACCCTAAAACAGAGTAAAATATATGTGAATTCTGGGATATTATAGAGCCATTAAAATTTTGCTGATTAAATGGTAAGAACATATGCAAGGAAATTTATACAAAGCTATACGTGTGCAAATTTATATATAAATTAATAACACGCAAATTTATAATAAAGAAAATATTCAGAACATGTATATAATATCTCATTTGTTTCTCTTAAATTCGTAAAGCAGAAATAAGCAGGAAACGCCTCTGAAGATCAGTGGCAATTTCTATCAAGGTCGAAGGGTATCTTAGTCTGGGCTGCTTTAACACAACACCATAGACCAGGTGGCTTATAAACAACAGAAATTTGTTGGCCAGGCGCGGTGGCTCACACCTGTAATCCCACCACTTTGGGAAGCTGAGGCGGGCGGATCAGCTGAGGTCAGGGGTTCAAGACCAGCCTGGTCAATGTGGTGAAACCCCATCTTTACTAAAAATACAAAAATTAGCTGGGCATGGTGGTGCACACTTGTAATCCCAGCTACTTGGGAGGCTGAGGCAGGAGAATTGCTTGAACGTGGGAGATGGAGATTGCAGTGAGAGGAGATCGTGCCACTGCACCCCAGACAGAGCAAGACTCTGTCTCAAAAAAAAAAAAAAAAAAAAAGAAACTAAATTTGTGTCTCACTATTCTGGAGGCTGGAAAGGGAAGTCTAAGACCAAGGCACCAGCAAATCTACTGTCTGGTGAGGGCCTCCTTCCTGGTTCATAAATGGTGCCTTCTCATTGTGTCCTCACCGAGTGGAAGGGGCTCATTTAATAGCACGAATCCTATTCATCAGGGCTCCACCCTCAGGACCCAATCACCTTCCAAAGACCCCACCTCCGAAGACCATCACCTTGGGGGTAAGGATCCCAACATATGAATTGGGGGCTGGTCGGGGAGAACAGCATTCAGAACATAGAGGAGGGTTACAAGGGATATTTTTCTTCTTGATGCCTCTAAGTCGTTTCTGAATTTTCTCAGAAAATAAAATATTTGAAAAATCCTTTGACAGCTCTGATTGAGATCATAACCACCATCTTGGTCCACCACAATCAACCGCCACCACACCCATCACCTCTCTCACAGCCCTTCTTCTCTCCCCACCAGTGCACACACACCCACTCACATATGCATGTATGCACACATGTAGTCAGTGTCAGTGCCTGGGTCACCACTCCATGCGTAGCATTTATCATCCTACCGATTTCTGATTCCTGGTTGTTTTGGCCTTGGTGATCTTCCCCTAACACCCAACCTGTGATCTCTAATAACTGAATCCCAGCCACATTTCGAGGCCCATCAGAAGTGCTACCACCCCCATGAAGTTTTCCTCCATCCTTTCATGGAGGATAATTTAGCTGCCTATTCTGTAGCTCTGCAGCACTTCAAATCTCTTTTCTATTCTCACATTGTATCCTATACAGTGATTTGTGTGCATATAGCTTTTCTCCACCCAAGCCTCGCCTTCTCCATGGCTGGAACTTTCATCTTTGTATTTCCATATCTACTTCCTTCCACCAGTCTCTAGCATCTAGTATCTGCAATATAATAAGCATGCAACAGGTATTTACTGAATTGATTTGAAAATCTTCCCCCAAAGAACAATGAGAGGTGTGGTTTCCTTCTTTCAGTTTGGCCCTTGGGGCTCTTGAATGTGGAAGCTGTAACCTCCCCAGGAAAATGAACAGAAACTAAAGTATCTTTGGAGAAAGACAAAGTCCAGTCTTGTTAAGAATTTAAAAGAAGAGACGAAAAATGTGTTTCTGATCTCTAGGCTCTGCCCACCATGAGGCAGCGAGATTCCGAAAGACAGACCAGAGTCTGGGGAAGGGGATGATAGCAGGAATACAACTTCACCCCAGGACAGCAGGGTAAGAGAGGTGCATTTAACAAAGTGGTGCTGAAGGCCAAGAAGGAAGCTCCTTCCTCCCCCAGAGTTGAAGCCAAAGCAAAGGCTCTGATAGCCAAGAAGGCACTGCTGAAAAGCATCCACAGCAACACAGGCACACACACACACACAAAAGATCCACATGTCACTCACCTTCCAGCAGCCCAAGACACCAACGCTCCAAAGGCAGCCCCAGGAGGAAGTAGCTTAACCATGCTTCCATCAAGTTCCCCCAGCCACTGAGTCTGCCATGAAGAAGCTAGATGAAAGAAGACGCTTGTGCTCATTGCGGATGTTAAAGCCAGCAAGCACCAGATCAAACAGGCTGTGAAGAAGTTCTCTGACATTGATGTGGCCAAGTCCACATCCTGATCAGCCCTGATGGAGAGAAGAAGGCATATGTTCCACTGGCTCCTGATTAAGATGCTTCGGATGTTGCCAACAAAATCGAGATCATCTAAACCAAGTCCAGCTGGCTAATTCTAAATATGTATCTTTACACCATAAAAAAAAGAAATGTGCACTCAAGGCTTCTTCTCCACCACAGGATGATGTGCTAAGTGGAATGAAAATGAGTGAGAGAAGAGGAGAGGCACCTGTAGTGTTTTAGGAGATAACTAAGTCACTGAGAAGAAGGAGAAGGAATCACTGTGCATACTGGGTCCACAGTCAACACATGCAGGTAACCACAGCCCACTGAGTGGACCGCAGGAAGTAGAATGGAATGTACCTTTGGATCCAGAATCTTCCTCTCCTAACCAATATAATTTTAATCAGAATTTTTGGCAAATTATTTAAATCCAAATACTTAGTTTTATTTTCCCACAATTATTTCCTAATCTGGTTCTTCACAATCATATCGTAAGCAACCTATAGTCAATGCAGTCACTAAAATTCTAAGTGGGAAAATGATATCCAGCTTTTTTGTTTACCTATTATTTAAGACATACAGGGACTAAATGCTAACAGTAGTATCTTCTGTCATCCTACAGCTGGTACTAGAGAGTCTATTTAACCACACTAACATTTTCCTAGGAAGCTACAGTTTTAATATGGAATAATTCAACATATTCATTATCGCCTATTTACACTCATGTAAACCAATGCTCCCTGAGTAACCAAACTTTAAAATGTTAATATAAACATTATGCCTCTTTTAATTGCAATAGACACATTCCTAAGTAACTTAATTCCAGCAAGACCCTTTACCAATAAACAAAAAACACATTTTGGGCAGCTTTCCTGTACAGTACGTAATAAGGAAGAAAGGAAATGATTTCCATAGCAAGGACCAGCAGGATGACTTGTACTCTCTGGATTCTAAGGCCAAAGTTGTAGATTTAAACTCTATCCAATCACCAGTTTGTTCTCAGAACATCTAGAACCCAAGGGGAGGTTTGAACTTGGCTACCTATGGACTTACGGGTCAGACTGGAAAGTTATAAAAAGGTGCAAGCCATCAGGGTTTATCTAAATGTTGGCCTCTCCAGAAATTATTTCCATCATGTTGGAGAAGGAAAGGCCCAGGCCATTTTCATGAAGGCCAGTTACTGAACTGACCAACTCGGCTGGGACCACACAGCCTGCAGCAGGACAGACCCAGTCATCCCTGGGAGCCACCAAGCACAGGTTGAGGTGACTGGCGTTTATTTGGATCACTGAAATAATAAGCGATTCCAAAGGAATTTGTTCTTACTAACTAGTTGGATAATTTGATGTGACAGGGTTGCATTCCCACATAGAAAACGGAGAAGAATTCTTGGTGTCAACTGAAGAGACTGCTCGACTTTTTATTACAATGGATTTTCTTTCTCCAAAGCCCAAAGCCTTTTAAGTGTATGTGTATGTGTTCCAATTTAGGCTTTAGTTCACTAATTAGCCGACAGTTACCATAAAATTGCTTTCTTCCTTTCCAACCTTGATGAAGTTGTTACTAAGTCCATCATTACTCAAACCCTATTGAAGCTGCTAAGTTTACAGAGGAAAGAGATCTCGAAAAAGATAAGGCTTTATTAATATTTTAATCAGCGTTTTTGGTACAGTATTTATTCCTGAACACCAGCATTTATTCTCACAATACCAGTGTAGTTTAAGTGTTTGGTTTTGAAGGTTTTTGCTTTGGGCACCAAAGCTACCACCATACTTGTTTTTACTTTTGTTTTTGTGTTTCAGAAAGTGTATACGAAAAATACTAGACAGGTCTTCTTTCACTTGGAGACTTGTGTGCTACAGCACACACTTGATTTACGTGGGCAGAACCACTTAATCACTGGGTATGGGCTTTGGTAAGTTTGTGTGGCCCAGTTGTCTTTTTAAATTGATCTTGGGAATAGTTTCCTCTTCCCCTGCAATGGAAAGAAATTGAATCCTTGTCAATATGACATTCATGTCATCTCATTGAGTAACACAGAATAGATGAGGGTTGATCATGTTTCTCTAAACTTTGGAGGAAAAAAACAGTAAGAACTGTAAACATTGACTCCACACGCACTTTGGTGTTCTCCTAAGTGGTCTTCAATTAACACTCTATGACAGTTGGTAAAATCCGTTCAAACATAATTTTTAAGATTGTGTTAACTACATACGTGGAAATTTTAAATATTTATAAAGTGGCTTATATGTAGACTATAAACATTGTTAGGATAAAAATCCTATTATTTATGGAATTAATGAAATAAAGAACAAAATAGTATTTATTCTCTTACCAAGGTACTAACCTTATGAAGGCAAATAGAGACATAGTTAATGTTAGGGCTGGGATTTAACTAAGAAGTTCTAGGGTGGCAAACAAAGCTTCATTTAGAATTTGTAACAGTATACCATCCTTATGATTCCTTCATTTTTCTGTGGTTGCCATAAGGTACGTGGTGTTTGCCAGTAAGTAATTTTATGACAAGGCCAAAACTAAAATCCAAGCCCCAAGTGACTCTTAGTCCAAAGGCTGTGGAAGTTAATGTGGAACAGTGTCAAAAACCTCCGAATTGGAATTCAGAGAACTCAGATTGGGTGCCTATTTAGTCCCAATTTTTCACATGGCTAATTTGATATGGATTTAGTAGTTACTAATTCATGCTTAATCATAGATAGTAATTATGAGGAAGCCAGATCCTCTCTGGGTCTGTTTCCTTAACGAAGAACCCAAAGTTCCATTGCCCTTGAGCTCCTCTCAACAATGACGTCTTTGCAGCAGTCCAGATCTACGAGCAGAGGGTGGCCCAAATGCTGCGTGTATCTTTAGAAGGTTTTAAGACAAAGGGAATGGCCCTAAAGGAACTGAAAAGCATGAGGAGACCACTCTAGACCTCAAAGGAGATGCAAAGTTGATGGAAGATTAAAGCTGCTGAAAATAAAGAAAGAAAAGATTCTTTCAAGGCATAGAACCTCAGAATGTCATGAAGTAACCACATGAATGAGAAAAATAACCAACAAGATAGACAGAACCATCGCCTTTCATCTGTTGTTGTCTGCTGAATGTCTGTATTTCACGATCATTTGCCGTTGATAATGATTAATTCATGTCATGTTATTTTCTCCATAGGCAAATGCCCTCCTATATTCAAGAAAAAGTGTCCTTGTGAAATTGAATTCGACTACATTCATTAAGATTTAAATGTATCTGTATCTTTTGATGTAACTATAAGCCTTCACTGAGCACTCACTGTGTCCCAAGAATTGCTTTAAATGTTTTCACCGCACTAATCTTCACAACAGTTCTATGAGTGGACTTCATTATCGACCACATCCTGCAGAAGCACAGAGAGGGTCAGTAAGTCACCAAGCACTGCCCAGTTGGTGAATGATGGAGCCAGGATGCAAACACAGGCAGCTGGACTCTCTGGCTTGAACTTTTTCACAGCTACATGTTTATCACACGTATCTGCTCACATTTTATTTCTAACTGGAGTCTGGGAGTATGGGACATTTGGGCATAATGCAGTTACTTTTCAAGGACATAAGAATTAAAAATATAAAATGTCACCTGTGAATCAATGAAGAAAAATAATTGAGGAAGTGAGGTAATTTTTTAAATGTGCTATCTGCTAAGTTTGAAAATCAACGACAAAATTTTCAAGAATCTTTGCCTTGCCACAGATGTTACCATAGAGTGTTGTTAAGCTAGCAAGATGAGTTCCTTCTGTACTTGAAGTAGGTGGACCCTGTACCTCTGGACTTGATTCAGTAATAAATGGACTGCATGTCTGGATAGCAAATTGTGTGCTGTTGTTAGATATAAGGAGCAGAGACTAAAAGACTGAGCTGTCGCCTTTCACCCATGGCAGTGGCTCAGTGCCTTCATTCACGTGCTCCGGGAACTTTCCCTTACAGACAGCATCCTGTAAAAAACCTACTAGTGCTCTCCAGAGAATCATTTCTACAAGTCCAGTGTTTAATGTTTTTCAATGACAATAGGTGAATGTCAGCAGCAAGCCAAGTACCATTTCCTAGAATGGTGTGGCAAAATATTACACTTGGATGCATTTTTTTTGTTACATATCACATAGTGTAGGCTCTCTATAAATACTGGCTAAATTTAATAGATTTGATAAGCAGAAACGAAGAAGCATTTTCTATAGGAATCATCCTCAGACTTCAAGACATAATTTTTGAATATCTTTCTAATAGTTTAATTGACTTTCTTTCATTTTCCAAAATTGATATCTATTATTGGTCACCTATTGGTATAGATCTATAGACAGATCAAATTATTGTGATTTGGAGAGGAGCATTGACAATACAAACCCAGATTTTTATCCTATGAGAAAATATTCAATAAGTAATGATGTATTTTTTTAAAGGCCAATTTAACAACAAATCAAAATTCTGTTTTGTTTCAGAAAGAAGAAGCAGAATGATAATTCTCTTAAGGTAATTAAGAATTTTACAAATGAAAAGGTTCATTCATAGTATCTGGATAAAAGAAGAAAGGGAAGGAGAGAAGAAGGGAGGTAAAATGAAAATGAAAACAAAAAGGAGAGGGGCAAACAGAAATTTTCTTCCCAAGCAGCAACTGTGGAGGAAGGCCAGTGTCCTGACAGTGTCGATTGTGTGGATGTGTGCTAAACTTGATTTTTATTTTTCACTTGTCCTGTTCAACATAATGGAAAATCTATGGCAAAACTTTAACCAGTGTTAATTCACGTCCACCAAAAGAATTGCACAACCTCTTTATCCATGTAAGATGGACCACATAATACTAAAATGCTCAATAATATCTCATTAAAATGTTTTGGGTTTTTTTCTTTCTGTTTTTGAGACAGAGAGTCACTCTGTCACCCCAGCTAGAGTGCAGTGGCACGATCTCTGCTCACTGCAACCTCCAGCTCCTGGGCTCCAGCAATCCTCCCATCTCAGCATCCTGAGTAGCTGGGACTACAGGTGCACACCACCATGCCTGGCTAATTTTTGTATTTCTTTGCAGAGATGGAGTTTCACCATGTTTCCCAGGCTGGTCTTGAACTCCTGGACTGAAGTGAT